CTGAGTACCCTTTCTATGGATCCGGCTGTAATTTGCCCTCAGTGAGAAGATTCATCTGTTCAGCATTTTAATTATATTAAATACAACTTAGGTAGCAGATAAAGCAGGAGGTTCATTTGCAAAAAACCTATGGGGTTCAAGAGGAGTGAAGTCAGACTAGATTAGACTCAGTACAGATTTCTAAAGATTGTTTAAGTCCATCTGCCAAACTTGAACAAACAATAAAGGGCTTATCTTCCCAAGGCCAGCTACAGAAGGACGGGACACAAGCTGAGCAAAGGAACATCCTTCTTCCAGGAATTACAGCAGAGGACTGGGAATGGTGGCAAAAGATGATGCCTGAGAGAGACAGGGACTTTCTTAGTGGGTTCTCTAGGAAGAAAATTAGAGCAAGAGGAAGGGCCACAAGCTTCTTGCATGGTGTAAAATCCAGGTCCATGTGTCTGATATGCTCCATTTCTGCCTCAGAACTTAACAAAGAAACTGCCTCTGAGGCACTCTTGTGCCAGGAATAATGTGACTTCCCAGCACTCTGCACATAGGCATAGAGGAACTGTGCAGGGTGCAGCACTTGCTGAACTCCTAGAGTCAAATGGCAAAGCAAACAAGATTTTTGAGCAAGAGAAGAGAAGCATAACTGGATTTCTAAGGGTCATGGTGTAAGAGCCACATCTCAAATATGACTTTTCCATAAGAATCCATCAGGTGCTACTTAACTTTTCAGTGCCCCATAGATATTTTGTAATCAACAAGATGTGTATTATTTTATTTCCCTAACTTTCTATTTTGCAGTATTTCATCTGTATTTCATCATTTCATTGCATCCTGACAATGGGATTTTGGGGAGAGAGATACTCAGCTGGGCTAGAATGTCAGTGGGTTCAGTAGCAGTGTGATGTTACACACTCATAATCTGCCACCAGCTGTGGCTAAATGCAACAGGATTAATTCATATGCACACATAGGTCTCTTCCAAGCCCAGGTGATCTCATGGACATGTATTTAGGAGACAGAAAGTTCTCTTCACATCTCCACCTTGAGATGGTGCATTTTATTTACTGTGCTTACTAAGTAAGCCCTTCTTAGCCCTCTGGCATATTGTTTAACTAGAGCAGTG